TTGATAAAAATCAAATTTATGATCAATTAAACTCAAATATTAAGACTTGTAGATTAATCATTGGATTTAAAGATCAATTCTTTGTTTTTGTGTTTTTTAACTTGAATTGATATTTTTAAAGTATAGTACACATCGAAAAAAATTATATCGGGTATTATATAATTTAAATTGAATTAAATTATATAATTTAAATAATTAATTGAAAGATGAGCTCTTTAATTATCATTTATTTAATAATTTTTATTTTATAATCTAATATAATTCAAATAATAAAACAAGAAATCTTAATATAATACCATGCTTGGGGCGTGTATAAGGTAAGAGCTACAGTCCAAATCTGTTGGTTATTAATTTCATTAGTAGACTCATCAGAAGACTTCTTCCATCAATGCCCGAAAAGACAACCCTTAGAAATTAACATATCAACAACCAATTTGATTGATCTACTTCTAAAGGCATGGCATAGATTGTTTTAAAAAACAAATAAAAACTCGCTATAAAATGTATGCAAAATTATAAATTCATATAAAAACAAGAATTTTAGGTGAACTCCGTTGTTGGATTGATTCTATGCACATCATTTTTTCTTTAAAAATTTAATTAATTTCCAGAGAAGAGAGTTAAGGGAGTTAATTGTTTATTGAAAAATTATGCCTGTATCACTCTCGTGTCGTGATCGGTGTATTGCATTTAGACTTTCGAACTTCAAATCATATTTAAATATATTTAATTTTATGTGCAACAATTTCAATTCGATGCTTCTAAAATTGTTCAAAAAAATGTCCTCGTCGGTGTACATGTGCTTGGTTGCATTAATCGCTAGTAGACCCATTCAGGTCCAGTCGGCATCTGTGGACCACTTCCCTAGACTGAGTGCAAAATCAGATTTTTTTTTCCACAACATCGATATAATAAAAAATTTATTATATAATTTAAATTACATAATAATTATTATTATATAAAAAATAAATTTTGTGATATTAAAAGTTATTTTTTATTTAATTATTTTTATTTTATAATTTAAACCAATGATTATAAAACAAAAACTTTTGATATAACTAGTGGTTTTTATTTTTAAAAAAAAGCCATTGATATTTGCCCGTTCTCAGAAGAAACAAAAGGAAACATAATTTATGGATTAGCAGAGTTAGAGAACCCACCAATTCACCTTCCATACAACTCTCAATTGCAATACCAACTATATTTCTACCGTATGTAGTATCCTCAGCTCTCCAATTTACAAAAAGGGCTATAGTACTCACTTTCCATCTTGTTTATCTTCTTCATCTACGGTACAATGGAGCAAACACAATACTGGATGTGGCCGAAGACGAGGCATGGTTTGAGTTCTAACCTTCAAGCTACGAAAACTGTTGCTTATGATGATTCGTGGGAAGAGCATGCTTTTGCCGAAGATGCAGCGGGGACGCTTGGAGCTGGATGCATATGGCCTCCGAGGTCTTATTCTTGTAGTTTCTGTAGAAGGGAATTTAGATCAGCTCAAGCTCTTGGAGGTCACATGAATATCCATAGGAGGGACAGAGCTAGGTTAAAGCAATCTCCTAGTCCCCAAGCTGAAGTTCTTCTTCAAAATCATCGGAATCACGTTTCGAATAATAACTTTGCATCTTTTTGGTATTCATCTCAGGATTATAACTTGGTTTATAACGATAACCCTAATCCAACATCTCCATCTTCTAGGATTTCAGCTTCTTTACCTACTAAAGGAGATTGCCCTGATGATCATAAAGCCTTGTCTCCTTTTTCTACTCCAATTCTCCAAGAACACCAAAAGAAGACGTCTTTTTCCCATAAATCATGGTCAAATGTGGATGCTGACAAAAATCATTATTTCTCTGATCTGATGAAGACTGAGGGAGAGAAGAATATGAGAATCCTAGAATCAGAATGTACGGTTAATGTCCAAACTGATTTATCTGTGAGCTTGAATCTTGTTGTTCGAAGAACAAGGCCTACTGTATCCGGTGAGGAGGAGGAGAGTGTCTGCTGCAAGAGAAGGAGAATTGATGCAACTTCATTACCTTTCTTCTTGAAGCCAGTTTCTATCAACAAGCATCAATTACAACCGAAGGTTATTAATCTAAGCCCTAGCTCTATTGATGAATTGGATCTTGAACTCAGGCTAGGTGACCGCCCCAAGGTAAGTAGTTAATTTCATTAGAAACCATGAGTGCCTTTGTTCCCTTGTATGTATAACTTGTTTATTTCAGTTTCTTATTTTTCCTTCTAGAGGTACAGATCAAGACACCTCTTTGCTTTGAATTTAACGTGATATCTCTCTAGATGCTATTAAATCCACTGAGTGTAACAAAAACTAT